TCCCCCCCCCCCCCCCCCCCCCCCCGTAAATTTCATGAAGCGTTACAAAAACAGGTGTTTGCGTCTCTCTCTCTCCCTCGCTAACAACATCGCCCCCGCCTTTCGGGAAAAATCCCCACCACGGCCGGCCGCCAGAGTTGGCACGTATACATGCGATGCCAGCGGCAGCAGCGGCACAACGGCGTGTGAGGCCGCTGAGAAAAAAAAACAAAACACATCGACGACTTCGCCTCGGTGGCCCTCTACGCCGGGGATGTATGTTCCCAACGGCGCCAACCGCTAACGACGGACACAACGACGGCGTGTTGCTGCCGCCTCTTCAACCCAATACTTACGGCGGCTGCGGGCCGCCGCCGCCTGCCGCCGTCTGCTACCGGCTGGAAGAGCTCCCGCAACGCTCGCTGCCGAGCATGGCGATCTTCTCCAGGAACGAGGCGACCTCGTCGGGGTTTCTCAGCGTGTAGGCGGCGTTCGTCTCGCGGGACTCCTCCGACACCAGGATGCCCACGCCGTCGTGGCGCGCTCTGTCCTCGCCCATGTCTCCGTTCAGCACCCGGAAGGCGTTCTTCGTCGGCGCAAAAAAAAATACAGTGGGGGATAGGGATCGTTAGCGGGTGGTACGTTTTGGAGGCGTTCTTTGCGGCGATCAACGAGGGGATAGGGGTTGTTCAGAACCCGAAAGGCGTTCTTCGTCGGCGCAAAAAAAGCACAGTAGGGGATAGGGGTCGTTAGCGGGTGGTACGTTTGAACGGGGTGGCACGTTTGACGTCGTGTCTCGTCGGCAATCAAGAGGGAATAAGGGGTCAAGTAGGCGGGGTGATACGTTTTGAGGGCGTTCTTTGTCGGCGAAAAAATAGGGGATAGGGGACGTTAGCGCGAGCGACGGGGATGGTCGTTTGCGCGTGGTACATTTTGAAGGCGTTCTTGGTGGAAGAGCAAACAGGGGATAAGGGATCGTTAGTGGGTGGAAAATTTGAAGGCGATTTTCGCCGGCCAAAAAAGAGGGGATACAGGGTTGTCAGCGGGTGGTACGTTTTGAAGGCGTTCGAAGAGCAAAAAGTGGATGAGGGTCGTTAGCGGGTGGTACGCTTGAAGGTGTTTTCTTACCGGTGAACAAGAGGGGGGTCACTAAGGGGTACACTCTTGAAACGTCGTTTGCTGCTACTGCTCTCTGTGCACGAGTTGCGCATGGGAAGGGGCGAACTTACGCAGCCAACCCCCAGCCCCGCCGGTCCGTCTTTCAGCGAACGATGCTGCAATAGGTGTACAAAACTTCAGGCCAAAGACGCCCTGACATGAAGCGAGTCGCCTTCGGTTTGCAAGCAACCTACCGACAACAATCCTCTCGCTCTCCGCACACAAGAACGAGGGGAGCAGGGGAAAACCTGGCAATCTTCCCCTACCCAGAACCAGCACCATCCACCGTGCAGAGGAATACATCCATGACCACCACATGCTCTATGCTCTCTCGATTGCTTCCGGGAATCCAAATTGAACATCGTGCTACACATGCCCACCCTCAGTTTTCCACGCCATCTCTGTACCTACATGAGCATGCGGCAAAACCCCAAAAGCTACAAACGCCCACCCCATTTTTCCACTCCATCTCCGTGCCCACGGAAAAACATGCGCAATTGCAGTTCTTACCTCGTCGGTCTTGTCGTCTCCGATAAATATCGTGAAGAACCGCCCCGAGTACTCATCATCGTAATCTCCTTCCTCTTCTTCCTTCGTGGCACCGGCGACGCCGCTTCCACCACCGTTACTCGAAGAAACCGTGGCCGCCGCCGCTGTTCCGACAGGCGGCGGCAGCGGAGGCGTGACCGCCCCCCCCGTCTCCCCCGGCGGCGGCGGCGCCGGTTCCTCCGGCGCCTGTGCCATGGGCATGACCAGCTTGTCGAGGAGCCACAGCACCGCCTTGCCCTTGTCCCACGCGATGTCCGGCTGGAGCTCGAACACCTTGGCGAGGAGAAGGCGTTGCGAGGGTAGGGGGAGGGGGGTGTACCCGTGTAAGCGCATATGCCGTAGTCGTTAGACCGGAGACCAGGCGGACCACCGGGCGGCGCGGGGGGGGGGGGCGTACGCTTGCCATAGTTGTTACACCATTCACCACGCGTCCTCGAGCATGAGCAGAGCGGGCCGGGCGGGGATTACCTGTCTGCCTGTGCATGCCTGTGTGCTTACGGCGCAAGCGTGCCCCGACAAGGTAATCATCCCTCTTGGCACCACTCCAAAAGAGTCGATAAAAACGTGGAACGTGAGTTTTCCCCAGACAAGGGCAACTAGGCGTTGTGCACAACACGTCGAGCGCGAATTGCTTGTCGTGAGCGAGCTTCTCAGCAGAAAGTCGAGGTCGCCTGTGAAGAGTGAGGAGCTAGCGGCGCGTGGGGTGTCCGCTGTCGGGGCGGAGGCGGGTTGTCTTCACCTGACAACGTGATGACTATGGATGAGGCGGTTGCCAACAACATTCTTGGGGTGGCGATAACAATGGCGCGGCCAAAACTATTCCCACACAAGACAAGGTCATCGGGATGTTGCCTATGCCACGTGAGCCATCCGTGCCTGCGGTCCGAAGCCACGCACAACCTGATGACACTACCACTCCCCTTAGCTGCTGCGAGGGCTGGGCGCGCGGGGGGCGGGGGGTCTCCTCGTTTGCGGCTTTCCTCGGCCAACTAGAACACTGGCCACATGCCTCTTCCGAGACTGAACGTTGTTCCTGCTTCTCGATGAGACACCACCAACATCCGGGAGCCTTTTTCGATCGCGTCATCCATTGCAAGGGCCCTGTTGGTCCTTTTTACCCCCTTGCCCAAAGTTACATACCAGCGGGTAGCGCGCCGCTCCTGTAATGCATGGTTTCAAGAGCAAGAACACACGCAGAGCGCGTAGAAGCAAGACCAAGCAGTACGGTAGGAAGGCTCACCTCCTTGCCCGAGCCCATCCGGATGCGCTCGTGCCTGGCCTGCACTCGCTCGACGACCTCCTTCACCCTTGGCACGTCCACCCTCGCGCAGTTCCGGTAGTGGATGGAGACGGAGAACCGGTTGTCCTCCACCTGTGAACGAAAAAACCCGCCGCCATTTAAGAACTACTTGTAAGAACCTCTTGGTTTGTTGCCTGAGGCTCGTACAGTACTGTCAAACCGCTTGTTTTGCTGCCTGGGCCTCGTTTATACGGTACCCAACATTATGGTAGATATTCCCATAGGGTCTTGAGTTGCTGTTCTTATGGTCAAGTTGTTTGAGGTTCTTTATGTTTGAGCCTGAATGTCTTAGCCCCCAGGTTCCTACGTTGCGGCTCGGTCTGTAGGAAGAGTTTGGTTCGACTCGGTCCGCGTGATGGGGTACGGTAAAAAAGGATGGCTACCCTAGCGCTGCAACACTCGCGTGAATCGCCCGACAATATAAGGTGCGACGACCGTGAAGCAATCGCGTGTGACCATTCGTTCACGAACAAAAGCTAAAAGATCGCGGGGCACAATTACGCCCCCCACCGTAGGCTAGACTAACACACAGGGTGTCACCAACAAGAACGCCACACCTCACAAAGGCACCCTATCGCAGCACAACAACAGCCACAACCTCACACCGTGACGAATCTATCGCCGCTACCAACGCAACACCCCGGGCGGGGGGAGACACACAAGCACACCTCCGCCTTGTCGATGCCCTTCAGCTCGGCGATGAGCTGGTCGCGAATGTTCTCCATGACGGGCAGGTACTCCTGCGCCACCTGGTGCCGCACCTCCTCCAGGGCACCGCAGTCGCCGCCGGCACCTTCTTCGTCCCCACCCCCTCCGCCACCCCCGCTCCCCGCCTCTTGGCAACCGGACGCCCCCGCCTCACCGTCGCCGGTGTTACCGTTAGCCGCGACTTCCCCGTTCGAGGAAGAAACTGCTGTGTCTGTTCTTGCCGGTGGTGCTTCCGCACCCGGCTGTGCTTGTCCGCAACAGCTTGCCGAGGCTGGCCCGAGGGATGCCACCCTGTTTTCATGGCGCAAACAACCATTTTTTCTCCCGGATTGAGGGCGCAGACACGCAGAAATTGAGTCATTCAGGCAAGGTAGCTTTCCACACAAGAATATGAACAAGAGCAACATGAGCTGAACCTGCCCGCGGGGAAAGATACCAAGACGAAAGGGGTGGTGGTGGTGGTGGGGGCTATCTGTTTGCTCGCAGAAGGCATGTCTCTATGCAGCCTTTACAGGTGCATAGCATTTCACGTTCGAGACAGGCCGTCGTTTCTCTACTCCTCGCGGAGACACTGACAACTATCAGGCTCTCCCAACGTTGTTCTACAATACTCCTTTTTCCCCCCCATACTTAGCAAAGTCTTCCGTGCCTTTCTTATCGAGGATGAAGAAAACAAGAGGGGGGCGACATGCAAGGCATGCACGAAGGCGTGCGGGGGGGGCGTTGAGGCTGGTCTAACACGCGAGACACAAGGCGACAACGGTGCCGGCACCTGAAGAAACGTGTCGAGACGTGGGACTTTATAGAGGGCTGCGCATGGACCGATCGCCCAGCCACGTCGATCGCTCCGACAAAAAAGACAAGCCTTGGCGGCCCCCTCACCCCCTCCCCCCCTCACAAGCAAACAAAATCACCACCCAAGGCTAACCGCTTCCCTTGTACACCTCACGAGAGAAGAGCCCTAACACTGCTGCGGCCGCTGCCCCCCACAAGAGAAGGCTTTCAGCACTCACCGCTGCATGTGCGAGTGCATGGAGTACGCCGAGCGCGAGGGCGAGAGGATGTCGAACCCGTGACTGCCCGCGTAGAAGAGGCCCTTGACGCCCACGAACGCGCGGATCTTGCCCAGGGAGCGGCCGCTGATGACCCCGGTGATGAAGTGCTTCGGCAGCTCGGTCAGGACGGTCCGCACCTTATATTGTTCGGTTTTGGAGCCGCAAGCAAGACTTCAACTCTTTTGAGACAACAAAATCCAACTGTTGAATACGGATGAGTAGTTTTTTTATGTATGTACTCACTTAAAAGAGGGCCCTACTCAAGGTTGCGTATTTTCTCAAAAGTACTCGAGTATGATTATACCCTACGAAACACACTCTGACTCTTTGATATGTATGCAAAATGCTTGGTCTCAATGTTTTTTTCTTGGCTGGACCAATTTGGTCGTTGTTCGGGATGCTTTTTTGACTACAGCGGCATGACAGGTACTACTATGTACTGTTTCTCCTCGTTTTGGGATGCTCGGCAGAGTGCTATCTACGTAGCCTCCGGGGGGGTACGTGGATGATAATGATATGGGTGTGACAGCCGTTGCTTCTCTTCGTTGGGATGGAATCTACGGCCTTTTTCTGTACCACCGGACATTAAATCGCAGCACTGTGGAGGTAGTTGCTGTTGACGTCGTGCACCTCATAACGTCAACATATCGGTCTGTCCTCTTGTCAAACAGACGCCGAAACCTCTTCCGGACTTGCACTCCAACAAACCAACGGCGCGGTAGTAGTAGAAGCAGCAGCAAAAAAGGCATGACATTGGTTTTCCTTGTCGCACGTGCCCAGCTCTCACCCTCTCGCTCAGCAGCCCCTTGAAAGGTTCCTTGACGATGGGTTTTAGCGTCCCTTCTTATTTTACCAGGACCCCCACCTTTCGGTACTCCAAGCCGCCCTGAGAGCAAAAAAAAGGGGGGGGGGGGGGGGGTCCGGAATAAAGAGACAAAAAGACCATCGAGTTTGAAAAAAAAAAGGTAAAAAAAACATTTGTGTGCTTGTTCAATTTAGTGGAGCAGAGAGCGAGAGAGAGAGTGGCATAGGAGAAGGTGAGGGGAAGGGGAGAGGAAGTGCCAGGGGGACATCCGTGCTTTCTGACATGGAGGAGGGTCAGGAGGAGGAAAAGGGGGAAGGGGGGGAGGAAAGCCAGAGGGACATGCGTGCTCTCGATTTGGTGGACGGGATTGTTGCTGGATATCGGGTGGTGGTGTGCGGGAGGTTCCAGGAGGCTCCAGGTGGCAAGGATTCCCGTCACGCCCACACTACCAACTGTTGTCATGTTCCGTTCTGCACGGCAACTGCTGTATCGATCAGCCGCGCAACAGCGCCGGCTGGGCTAGCGTAAAGCCCGAACAAAACTCATCAGTGTTAGGACTGTGGGGGTGCTGAGCCCTCACGCATGTCGTCCCGAGCATATGCGACAATTAGTAAGACATTGAGTGCGTTGCTAATCTATCCCGGACTCGTTGTCTGTGAAACAGAAGAGAAATCGTTGTGTGTTTGAAAAAAGAACCAAAAACATGAGAGATAAAATTCAAACAAGAGGAAACAAGGGCTCCTGCTGCGCCGTGCGCCGGACCTCCTGCCGGGATGGACGTAATGGTTAGTGGTGGCTACCATGGTAGGTACCGATTCAGATTCCCGGTATCTGGTGGCTCTTGCTGCAGCTGCCCCAAACCTTCTGTACCATTGTAGAGACATGGGTAGCCGCCAACGCGTCTCAATGGTGGGATGGTCAAGTCACTAGCGGTAGAGCAGCGCTGCGGGGGATGGTCTGGCTAGCATGCGTGCTGTGCTTGATGCCGAAGTAGTCACGGTGGCGGGTCGGATGCTGCCTGACTTTGACCGTTCCTGCCCGTATCTACTGTAGACGGGGCGCAGCGCGGAAGCATCTATTAATACCAACCCCATTGCGGTAGGAGCAACGCTCTGCTACATTTGGAATGGTGCAACTTTTCCGCGGACATCAAGCACGCGGTGATACTCCTAACAAAAAAAAAGAAGCTTCCGACACGCCAAAACATGTGTGTAGAAACAACCGTTGACGGCTGCAATGGTTGAAATTATCTTGTACACTAGTGTCAAGTCCCGCTGACGTTTTCCTCATTGGATTGGTCGCCAATATTTGCACATACGCATACCGACATTTTTTTTCCCGCACTACAACGTGCGGCGCAGTATTGTGTGATTTCCCGAAGAAGAACTGCTGCAGCAATAGTTCGAACAGGGTAGAGATTGTACGTGTATGTCCAATCATTGTTGCATGCACAATGTGCGGGCGTGAGGGCTTCGATGTACATGCAAATATTCACAACTTGTACAACTACAACTGAACAACTACTCGTAGTTGAACGGAATCAGCTCGTCGCACAAGATCCTGAACCGGTAGTTGATTGGAATCAACTAGTTGCACACGATTCTGATACTTCAGTTGACAACTAGTTGCACAAGATTCCTGAGACTTTCGTTGATTGGAATCAACGAAGTAGTTGCACAAGATTCTGAGACACTCCCCCGCGGGCGTGGTGCTCTTCCTTCTTCGAAACGTTGTGGGAAGGAAGCCAACGATCATTTCGAGTGTCAAAACTGCTTGCTTCGGACGCTCAAGATGGTAGCCTTCGAAAACCTTGGCACAAGAGCGATGGCTAGCAGTGTCAACGTGCGCAAAAGTGAAACAATTGTACGTGAAGCAGCATCCGCAGCAGCCGCAGTCGCATCCGCAGCATCCGCAGCAGCTGTTCCTCGCTTCTTCCTC